AGAAAATTAATCATGTTCGCTCAACTTATAAAGGCCAAACAGCCAGTAGTGAAATTTAAAATTGTGATGTTGTCATAACTTATAGCTTTATTATTTTGTACCTATTGGACGCATGAAATGATTTATTAAATTTTGTAGTCATTCTGCTATTATTGGTTTGTGTTATTGGAACAACATTAAAATCATTTTATGTTGATGCGTTTTTTTTTCACATTATAGACAAACGATATTGTTATAGTTGACGCATATATCATTTTAGTATGAAAAATGTATTCACATAATGATATTAAAATTGTTTTCTAAGACACAAAATTATATTGATGTAAATCCAATACAAAACTTGCACTGATTTACATAACGATAATGAAATTGTTCCTGAGATACAAAACGAAATTGATGTTTTTCCAGTATAAAAAACACACTACTTTACTGTTTTCATAACGACATTGAAATTGTTATACACCAATAAAATGACATGAAAGTTGTCATACAAAAACTTGCACAGTGCACACGAGATAAGGAGCTGTCGCATGCACATCCAAGGGACCATTTGCTCTCTCGGATGGTAAATAACTTAGAGGCATACACGCCTATCAAATTTTACTTTATTTTTTTATTATTATTTTTTGGGTTAATGTTTTGATTTCGAAACATTTGTCTTTCGTTCAATGATAACCTTTTCTCATGTAATTTTCAAAAAACGACAATATATCATAAGTATAAAACTCATAAAATAACATAACGAATTCATATAATTTCAGTATAAATTTAATAAGATTGAAATAATTCCCGTTTAAATCATGATTGAAATGACAGAGGTATCGTTTGCTTTAATATGTAATGATATTGATATCATTGTAAATTAAACTTACAAAATAACATAATGACATTCATATTGTTTCAGTATGATTTTAATGACATTCATATCGTTTCAGTTTAAATCATAAAACATTTTAGCTAGATTATCGTTTTATATGAAAAGAAAAGAAACGATATCTATATCCTTGTAGCTATGATTTGTAATGAAATGATTTCAAATTCGTCAAATTTGTACTAAAACATATGGATGTTATTATGTTATTTCATGTAAATATCATTTCAATACAATTTTAACGACATTGATATTGATTCATTTAAATTATTACAAAAATTACATAGATATCGTTTTAGTTTATATAAAACGGTAATTATATCATTTCTACTAAAAACGACAATTTGATCATCCCTAACCATTAGACATGCATCCGATATATGTAGGACGATCAAAATAGGTTATTTAATGGGTTTGATCACACTCAAAAGAAACTACGAGAACATTTTTGTTCCCATGATTATATATTACTTTTGAAGTATTCCAGCAAAAAGAAAGTATCTTCATTCATTCTTTCTAAGTCATTAGAGTGGTATTAACCCACTTGATGATCTTTTTCGATCATCCTACATATATTAAAGGTATGTCGGGTGACTATGGACGGTCGAATAATTGTTTTTAACCAGAATGATATTATTATCGTTTTATATAAAAAGAAACAAAATCTATGTAGTTGTGGTTATGATTTGAACTGGAATGATTTTAAACTTATCAAATTAGTACTAAAATGACAAGGTTGTCATAATGTTATTTCTTGAATTTGATACATAACGATATCATTATCATTTTAGTATAATTTTGATGACATTGATACTATTTCAATTTTAATCTGAACTAAAATAACATATATATCATTTTAGTTTATATAAAACGATAATTATATCGTTTTTGCTAAAAATAACGATTCGACCATCCACAACTACCCAGCATGCCTTCAACATACGTAGGATGATCAAAGGAGGTTATCAAGTAGGTTGATATCTTTTGAGCGAGATACTTTTTTCTGTCAAAATAGTTCAAAGGTACTAGATAATTATGAAAACACCAACATTATTGTAGTTTCTTTTGAGTGAGATCTATCGTGCTTGACAATATCTTTTGATCATCCTAAGTATATCAGAGGCATGACAAGCGATCGTGGACGGTCGAATCGTTGTTTTTAGTTAAAATGAATAATCATCATTTTATATGAAAATAAATGATTTCAAAGTCGTTGTGGTTATGATTTGAACTAAAACAGTCTCAATCTCGTTAAATTTGTATTGAAATGACATGAACGTCATTATATTATTCAGTAGATTTGACAAATATCGATATCAATATCATTATATAATAAACGAAATGTTATCATGTCATAGTTATGAACTAGAATGATATCGATGTTGTAAATATTGTATTGAAACAACATAGATATCGTTTTATTATTTGGTGGGTTTGATACATATAGACATTGATATCATTATTTATTGAAAGAAATGAGTTCAATATCATAGTAATTATAACGATATCGATGTCGTAAATATCGTATTGAAACAACATGGATGTTTTTACATAATTTTGTGGGTTTGATGCATGACGATATCAATGTCGTTACATATTAAAAGAAACAACTTCAATGTCGTTCTAATAGTAATGAGAGGAATTAAGTCCAATTCCATGCACAAACTCCTATTTTTCCTGACATCAAATATGGAAATAGTTAAACACATTGAGCCCCGAGTAACTTTTGAATCACATACTTATTTGGAAAAAAGTTAAAGACAGTGAACTTCAAGTCACTCTCAACTCACATACATATTTGGGCAATAAGTGTATTATCTTATTTTCAACATCTTCTTTTACTTCCCATCTCATCCTATCAAATAAGCATTACATTGCAGAGCAAGTATGATATGAATTTCGAGCCTCATTTTAAGTACATATCACTCTCTAAAATGTTTTACTCTAATGTATAAGGTGAGTTCATATGGTGAAGTCGCCATTTTCACCACAATTGGCATCAATATTTAGAATGGTATCTAGCATTGCATCCTTGTGAAGGAAATGCAAAGCTTTATACATCAATTGCTAGAAAAGGGGAAAAAATTCTATTGGCCCTTCTTTTATAAGAGAGAGAGAGAGAGAGAGAGAGAGAGAGAGAGAGAGAGAGAGAGAGAGAGAGAGCCTACAAATAACATCATCAAAAAAGCCATAAATAGAGCCCAATTTTTAAAAAAGCCTCAAATGGCTTTAACAAATTATACTTGAGGGGTGGCCAACTCTGAAGGCAAGGAGAAAGCTATAAACAACATCATCAAAAATTCAAAAGAGATATTGACTAAAAATTGCTGTTGAAGAAGGAAAATTACCATCATAAAATACTAATTTCGAAAAGTAAATTCTGAGGAGCTAAACATTGAGAAGTGTCTGAGATTAAATAATTCACACACAATGAAATCGAGTCAAAAGTAAATAGAGCCCAATATAATTTAAACATGTTTCTAAATAAACATCTAATATCACCTCCAAAATTTGGTGGCGAAGAAAATGACTTATCTTTGTAGAAATTATTAATAATGGTACAAAGAGGTAATTAACACGTCTCCCTTTTTCGAACATAGGCATAGGTTACAAACCCTTCTCCGACCTATTTACTGTTTTGATCCACCATTACTACCTAATAAGTCAATTCACTCGCAACTGTGCTAGAATAGTCCTCATTATGCAATTTTATTATTATTTTACAAAAATTCAAGTAAGTTGGCCAAGAAATTCTCTACTGGGACACATTTATTATTTAACATTGTTTAATTGTTCACTTCTGATTTTAATTTATACCTTCAAACTAAGCAAAAGAAATCCTAATTTACATATAAATGTATCCAAGTATTTCAGTTATGAACATAAAAAGCAACATAAAATCTGGGATAAGCAAGTTCAACGCTATAAAGAATGATTACCTCATCCACTTTCTCAACCGATTTAATAAAACTTGAAATCAATTTCTTGACTTTTTGAAGCTCTTCTTCTAGATAATTTTTCAGCCACAGAACCAATTTCACGATAATTGTCAACCTTTCTTTCCTCTTCTTCATCCTCTTTTTGTTGCCACTTGTGCAGTTCCTTCATCTTTTCCCTCGCTCAGCTTTCCATTTTTAACCTAACATAAGGGAAGAGGATAGGTTCGTTGTTGAAAGCCGAGACTAATAGGAAAGGAAGAGGATAGGTTTGATTTGAGAATGGAGATGTAACCAAAGCCACCTTTTTAATTTTCAATTTGGATAAATGGTTTTGATGTGAATAAATCTCCAATTCCTTCTTCAGTTTGGCTTTTTCTTGATTGTTTTCCGCCAAACATGTATTTATATATTCATAAAATTTTTCTCGAGTTTGGTTTTTATGTTTATTGTGCTTATATTTGTGTGTACAGTGGCGAGACGATTGTGGAGGCAATGGTGGATGGAGTGTTGGGAGGGTATGAGCATGTGAATGAGCCTGATATAAAGGACTGTGAGAAATTCTTGAATTTACTTTTGGCTGAAAGATTTCTTGATGCTGGTAGAGGTGTCAATCTTCTTGTTTTTGAAACTCTCTGCCATCTCTAATTCTATTTCCTTTTAGTAATACATATATATAAATAATGAAAGAATAAGAAAAGAAAGAAAAAATTAGGTTTATGTTTATGATGGAACAAATTTTATTAAAAAATATTTTAAAAATCTAATTATGTAATTTTATTTTAGGATAATTAAGTAAATAAGAAAAATAATAAAAATTGTGGTGCACTTAATAAAATTCATAGTGGTAATATAATTACACGTTATATAATATAGGGATGGCAACGGTTCGGTTCGGGTCGGTTCGTCCAAAACCATCACCGAACCATCAATTTTTTGGTCATACCATAACCGTACCATAACCACGAAAGTCGGTTCAGTTCGGTTTTGGTTCGTATCTCGGTTCGGGTCGTTAATAACCACGAAAATAAATTATTTTTAATTGGTCCATCCGTCGAATTAAAATGAAAACAAAAACATGATACTAAGTTAATGTAGCGAACAACAATACATCCCAAATGAAAATGCAAAAAAATCCCAATTCTCAAACGTAAAATCCAAATTTAACAAACAATATTCAATAACTCAAAAAGCTTCAACCTCAATTCATATTCAATCTTCATTCTTCTCCACAACTCTTACTGGCATCCGTCAAAACTCAAAGTTGATTCCTATATAGTATATAAGAAATATAAGTAGAGTAATAAATCAATAATCCATAATGTTTTTAACTAAATATTTAAACAAAAAAATGTACCTCTTCGTCAACATCCTCGTCATCAAACTTTGCACAAGCTCCGGAATATGATGAAGGGCCAGAATTTTCTACACACAAAAGAGGAAAAAATTAGCAATAAAAGAAAGTGCATAAATAACAAACATAAAACAATACATCCTACCATGAATATCAGACCAAAGCCAATCTCGAGCACACATTAAAGCTTCTAAAGTCTTCGGGTGAAGCCTATTTCTATGTGGGCTCACAAATCTACCACTTGTACTAAATACTGACTCGGATGCAACAGTAGATACTGGAATGGCTAATAAATCTCTTGCAACCTTCTGTAAAGTCGGATATTTTATTGAATTTGCTTTCCACCATGTCAATAGATCAAAACCGTCCACCCTAGGCAATACTGGCTCATCTAGAAAAACATCGAACTCTGTTTTTACATGATCAGCAGTAATAGAAAGACTAACAAATGTATCAAAACCAGCCATGCGAGAATGTTTTCCACTAGTAGTAGACGACTCTGATTGTGAAGATGATGGAAACAAAGATGTATTTTCTGTCGAACGATGTGGTCTCTTGTACTCTTTGAGCAACTTATGACCAAATGCTCTAACCTTTTCAACCTCGTCCTGAGCTTCATCTCCAAAAATCAAAGAAAAATAGTATTCAACTAGTTTCATCTTGTATCTAGGATCCAATATAGTTGCAACAGCTAGAATTTCATGCATGCTACTCCAATATTTATCAAACTTTTCCTTCATGCTTGACGCCATCCATTTGACTTCATCGCAAGATGATGTGCTCCAATCACGGATTGCCAACTTTATGTCACAAATATTGGGAAAGTACAAATTGGCAGTAGGATATTTTGTTCCTGAAAATAATTCAGTCGCTTCATAAAATATCTCCAACTTAACACAAATCTCTGTAGCCAATTCCCAATCACTCTCACTCGGTACACTTCTGTAATGAGGCTCTCTTTACCTTAGTCGAGGAAAAAGTTCTTTGTAAAGCAAAGCAGTATGAATCATTAGATACGTAGAGTTCCATCGAGTCTTGCAATCTAATGATAACTTTTTTCCACAAGGGATTTTCATTTGTCGTGCAACTGCCTCAAAATTTTCAACTCTTTTTGGTGTTGCTGACCAATATGAAACACTATCGCGAATTCTCTCAACACTCAGGCTAATGACATCCAAACCATCCTTTACTATCAGGTTCAATATGTGTGCACAACACCACAAGTGGAAAAATTCACCATTCAACAATAAAGAACCAAGAGAAAGCTTATCTAACATAATGTTAATCACAGCGTCATTCGTGGTGCAATTATCAACAGTCAGTGTAAACAATTTCTTATCAATATTCCAATCAAATAGACAATCCATTAACATAGTAGACAGTGACTCAGCAGTGTGGGGACAAGGGACATATATAAATCTATATGGATATGAAAAAAAGTTCGTAAGATAACTTAAAATTTCAGAAAATACGATAGTAGCTTAAAGTCTATTTTATAAAACTATTGTAACTCAAAATTCGGCTCTGAAGCCTCTAAGAATCATCTATGTAATGTGCAGTGATAGCCATAAATCCCTTCTTTTGATTGGATGTCCACATATCAGTGGTGACTGCTATTCTACTATTGGTCCTCTCTAACAAGCCCATTACTTTTGTTCTCTCATAATCATAAATTTTCAAGATATCAGCATTGATGGTATTACGAGAAACAACTTTAAATAATGGTTGAATTGTATTACAAAACTTTCTAAACCCAGTATGCTCAACCATTGAAAGAGGATATTCGTGCAGGATGATCATATTTGCAAGTTCTGTCCTACCTTTCTCTTGATCAAAATTAAATGCTCCCATTGCAATCCTACCACTAGGTTCTTTAAATTGATTCAAAAACATCTGTTTGACATCCTTCTGACCTCGAAGAGGACATCTATTTAAATGAGCATGTAAATGACTTGTCCCATTTTTCGACTCACCCCCTAACTGTTTGTTGCATTGTCTGCAAATTGCTTTGGACACATTATTAATTCTCTGTAGCTTAAAATGCTGCCACACTGAAGAGGTCAATTTTCTTTTTCTATTTTCCTCAGTCATCTCCTCATCATCACCTAAATCTATATGAATAGGATTTGCATTTACCTCACTTGGACTTTGTGAAGTAACTGGTGTACTTGTTGATGTATCTCCAACTTGAATTGAAGCAGAAGCGCTTCCAATTGAAGCGGGGGGAGTAGGAACGGAAGATTCTGACCCCTGGTAAGACATCTAATTTCAAAAAAAAAAAATCAACAAACTCAAAAACTTAGGCATTCATTAATTTCATTAGGTGAAAAATTTACAAAAGTGGAATGCTAAAAGATAGAGAAATAACTTATATATCAATATAAATCAGAAGGCTCAATAATTATATTAAAACTATATGTGAGGAGGCTATTTTATTTTAGTTCAAAAACAACTTTTTGTCCTCTAGACTTTCAACTTATATTTAAAGCAGTAAATAGAATTCGGATAAAAAAAATAAACAATAAATAATGACTAACACAAGATAATGACAAAAATTAAAAGTTCTAATACATATTTATAGACTAACATAATTGAAATATATACATAGATAACTAGTCTAAATTAATTTGGAACCAGCCATATCAATCATATATTCCAAGCACTACAAAATTTAATCTGGACTAGTTTAACAAAAATCAAAATTGAAGATTCCCTTCCCATGAAAAGCTAGAAATGTGGACTCTGGTTCACTTCGGATTATCAATAATTCAATATCTACATATATTAGAGATTCTCTTTTGCAAAATGTGCTATTCTATACAATTATATATTTGGCTTTTCATAAAGTTCATTGAACAATTTTATAGTTGAAAATTTGTGGTGTGTTTACATGGATTGATTACTAAAACTTGGATCCGTTTTATCAACAGTCAAAAATTCTCTTCCTTTTTGTTCTTCTACTCATTAGCCTATCTATTCAATCTTGAAAATAATTTTGTTTCTTGTAGTTTAAGCCCCGTTTGAACTTTACGACTCAATGGAAGGGACAACAAATTGGGGTCTTGTTGGTTGCAAAACATTGGATACATTAAAGCAAGCAACAGGCTAACCCATAACCAACCAACAAATGCTACTCCAATGATATCTATCCTTCAAATAGAACTTCAGCAAGCTCGATCTCAAATGAATGAACTTCAGTAAGTACAAATTGAGAAACGAAAATTGGTTTTTCATATTCTAGTGCAACGGAGAATGTTGCTGGTATGATAACAGTAGTCACAGGAGAATTGATACTTTATAGCCAATGTTTCTTTGATGGTGCTACCTATAAAGCTGCTGAAAGACATCCAACCGAATTGCATCCCAGTCAACATTATCAATAATTCTTTCATGTCCTCAATTTATATTAACTACTTAGAAAACAAAGCCTAACTTCTTTCAATCATTTCATCAAACACTTTCTTTGCAAAACCCATTTTCCCCAATGTCCCATAATACTAATGCAGTGAATTAAATCCATACTTCAACATGGGCGTGCACTTCAGTTCCTTCAAATACAGAAAAACTCAAATACAGCGAAAGCAGAAGAAGATGATTCAGTATTTCATTTACCTCAAATAGTGGTAGGACTGTCGGAGGCAGGAGCAGTGAAGCTCGTGGCTGTGTGCGTTTTTGTAGTAGGGTGAACCGGTGATGTCGTGAAGATACCTATCTGGACTCTGGAGGCGATGAGCCGTCAGGCGTGGAGCTGTGGTTGCCGGCTGCGTGAGTGTGGTCTGTGGCTGATTTCACTAATTTGTGAAGGACTAGGGTTTACACAATTACACTCTCATATACCCGAAGGTCCCGAATCCGATTCTATAATTTCTATTATTCTATATTTCTATAATTTCTATTACTATAATAGTCTAATACTATGGGTTATGGTAATTGGGTTGTGGGCAGTTGGGCTGGACGACTGGTATAGTAAATGTATTGGGCAGAATTTTATTTTGGGCTGGATAAAAATAGTGGAAAGTCCAATAACCAATTGCTCAATTATTATTATTATTATTTTTTTACGGGTAATCGGTTCGATTTTGGGGCAAGGGTGTAAATACCATACCCGCACCGCTCCATAGCGGTTCACCAATATCAAATACCATATCCGCCCCATTACACCATCGGTTCGGTTTTTCGCCCCATTCGGTTCGGTTAACCACAGTTTTCGGTTTTGACAGTTCGAATTGCCATCCCTAATATAATATAAGTTTTAAATTTTATTAAATATGTAATTAAAATTAAATTTAAAAAACAAATATTAAGAAATGGGTGCCAAATACAGGGCTAATCTTGAAACTGCATGATTTGATTGAGCAAAACGAAAATTTATGATCCGATTATTTGTGGGAAAAATTCATATATCAGGTATTAAAAATGCATTAGTTCAATTTTCAAAGATTAAGTTTAAAATTTCAAAAGTCAACTATTAATTCAATATTTTTAATTTTAGACAATAATAATAATATTAAATTAAATTAATTTACCCACCCCACTAAACCCTCGTCACCACCCGAACCCATTCCCACCCATCCATGGCCATTTCCTTTTACAGTCGTCAGCATCTATCCATTGTCGACATCCACCCTCGTAGTTATCGACATCCAAATAGCTTTACCGAAGGAAAGATAGAATTTATAAAAATAGCCAGCAACTACTTTAGAGGTGAACTAATCGCCGCTCAATGATGACTGAGTATCGTCGCTCAAATAGTAGATATAGAGGGAGAAACATAGCGACCGTTGGAGAACATTGACAAAGCATTGTTGACGACTGAGTAGTGTTGGTGCAATTTTAATCTATTTTTTTAAATTAAAAATTAGAAAAAGCCTCTGTGTAATTTACAGAGTATTCACTGGAGCAAATAATTTCATTTCTCACCATCAAAATCTGGTTACAATGGCGTGCGAGCATATCTCTTGAATTTGTGATTTGTGACCTATGCACATTGACATATGACCTGTTTTATGTGACATGTGACTCTATGGACATTGATTTATGACCAATTTTATTTTGATCTGTAACATGTGGACATTGATTTATGACTTGTAGGCGTTGATCTGTGACCTACTCATAATAACTCGTGACCTGTGGACATTGATTTGTGGCCCCCACACGATGGCCATTGATTTATGACCTATACAATATGACTTGCGACCTGTGGAGTGTGATTTTTGACTTACAAACATGATGTGTGACCAGTTCTATTTGATCCGTGACATGTGAAAATTATACGTGACCAATGCACAATAACCAATGACATAGTACATGTGACCTATCACCACTATCGGCACCACCAACAAATATCAACACAGCATTTGACATACACTCTATGAACATGTGACCACTACCAACACCACAAGCACCACCACTTCAACTAACACTACAAAATCACTACAAACCACCTCACAAACAACCACAAAAAGGCCTTCTAAACTACCACAAAAATTATCAAAAATCACCACATAAGCTATTGCAAACCACCACCAAAAATACCAAAAACTCTCCACACAAACTACAGCAAACCACCACAAAATTGTTGCAGCTGTGATTTGAGCCCTAATCAAAAAATTGGGAGAGTAAGATCTTAGAAATTGATTTCTGCTTCTTGCTTTCAAAGAGAACAGAGAGGAGAAATGGAACAAAGAGAGAGTGTAGAGCCAAAATGGTGGAGAGAGTAAGTAGAGAGTGTAGGGAATTTACCTAACATGCGCAGCGAAAAATTAAAACAGTTTTCGATTCTTGCCAGGATTCATCTTTGTGTTTAGATAGAAATTGTGATAAAGATATACCTTTTACAAGATCTGCAAACTCTTTTGCTATATCTTTGTTTCAGCAACTTGAATCTGTCTCCCACAACTGTCCAATTGTACAGCCTCCAATGGTGATCCACACAGAGAACAAGATTACAGTGTTAGGATTTTTCTTGTACTAGCAAGAATAATGAAAAATCTCTACAGTTTTTGAAAACCCTAATCATACCCGAACGGGCTTGGCCTGACCTGGTCCGATATTTAACTAACTCATTTAATTAAATCCAGTCTGTGAACTAATTAATACAATTAATTAATTCGGACCTATAAATATGCAACACAATTAATTAATTTATCCAACCCTTGTTAAATTAATTAATTGAGAAATTACAATCTTCTAATTCTCTTTTTGTGTGTGACCCATCAGGTTCCTATCACGATGCCTAACGACGTGAAATATTATTTTGATCTAATCAAAATTGATAAATTAAAACACACATTTAATTTATCACCAATTTACACTCGTCGTCCCAGATTAACATCTAGCAATGTGTCAGGACAATACATATGACGGGAAATGTCACGTGGTATGACGAAACCAAACTCGTTCATTTACCGTGAAACTATAATTCCTTCGTCAATATGATCCGATCAATTAATAAATATGGAATTGTGTTAATCCCGATTATCGATCATATCTTTCACTTCACTATTAAGTCAACATAAGTCGAAAACTTCTTTTCGACTTATGAGTAAACATTGGCCAAGGATTTCGTCATCGACTTAATTGAATGAAACACATATCATAATCTTCTACTATTCTAAGAGTGACGAATCCTTTACTGGTTAATCACAACCTTCATACGATTCTAAACGTACCCGAACGATGTCGTATTAGTTGCCCTTATCAGAGCAACATCCAACACTGCCAAAGTATGACTGTTCTCATATAAGGTACCATGACGACCTCAAGTCAAATGACCAATTCCACTACCGAAAGTTAGAGATTAACCACTGACACTTAGATAGTTATCCATGTGAAATCTCTCGATGGGTCTCCAATATTTTGTTTTATAACAAAACATCCACGTGTTCATGTAAGTGTCACCACTATTTAGCTTGTGAGATCAGTTACTTACTTCACAAGCAAGAAATACCACACGTGATTATCTATCCATAATAACAATATTCGTAACTCGTTATTACTTACGACCACAGACGATTTAAGATTTAATCATGTGTAATTTGTATCTCACAATCACAACTCCTTGTGATCAACAAATTACGAAGATTTGAATCTACGGACTCTATTATTTAATTTAATTGTCTATTAATTAAATAATAGATCTGCCATTAAATTGTATTAATTATTTATTAAAAGTATTTATATCCAAAGTTGATTGGACCTAGGGCATAACACTTACAAACTCCCACTTGCACTAGATCCAGTCACTTGTGTATCCAATAACA